CCGCATATACCTACGAAAGGATTCCCTGTGCCGTGTCGTCGTTATAGAGTAAATTAAGAAGGCTTTACTCTGTAACAGTAGTATAAAAGCAGGATATATATAATATAATAGGTTTGGGAACTATCCGGTAAGTTTGAAAACTGGGCTGTTGCAAAATAGTTGATAAGAAAGTAAAATTTCATATAGCAAGTCACACATAGATATTTAAATTAGTAACTAGGTAAGCTAATACTATAACATACTTTAGATAGTTGTAATTGTACTCATAATATTTGTAACCCAAAATACTTTAGAGTAAATCTAATAAACAGTATTGACAAGACTGCCAAATTTAAAAAAAAAAATAATAATATCTTTTGTTTAGTTTTCTGATACTTAATAGTTATCAGGCAGGCACTGCCTGATAATGGTTTTATCTGGTAGCTTACTATGATTTTCTGCCTAATAATAAAATTATTAGGCAAACAAATTATAGTAAGCTGCCGGATAATTATAAATATATAGATGGATATCTTGAGGATAAATATAACATATTACAAGCTTCACTTAAAAACCTTATAAATATGGTTAATTGTAAAAATATTCTTGAAATTTGAAAAGTTTTTTTATTTGATTGCTATAACTATAGCTATTTCTATTATATTATTCTTTTAAATAACTATACTTACCCTTGTATTTGTCTATATATTATTATTTTTTTTTATATCTTTGGCAAGTCTCGCCATGACTTTGGTTCTAGCTATTATATAGTTGACTCTAGTATGCACACTACTTAGTGTCACAGGATCTTTATAATCCCATACAGGTATTATGTGTTATCCACCTAGAATTCCGTTGCCCGACATTCTCTAGTTCCCTCATTGGGCCTAGATCTGACTGCCTGCACGACACTCTGGAGAGGTTGAATCACCTTTCTATTGTACTGGGATTTCACTAGCCAATCCAGTATCGCCACGAGTTCTTGTAGTATCTTTTATTAGACTCGGCCTCACATTACATTTCGTGACTTCAGTTATTCCAAATCGGAGTTCTAACACACCTCGTTTTATAGCCACAACTTCTCAAAATAACTATTCCTCAAATACGTCTATCCGTAGATGTCCCGAGTTTCCTGTACCCACAGTATTTTACTTTCATATTTGGGGTTTCATTATTTCGCCGCTGGGAGAAATTGAACTAGCAACCTTCTGATTTGCAACCTGGGAGCATAACCGCTATGCTATCGACCCGCAGGTTTATATATTATTTTTAATAGTTTTTATTGCAGATATTTTTTAGTATTTTTAAAATATCTTGCAATGCGAAGTTTAATATTAAACTTATATCTAAATGTTGATACACTAATCTGATACAAGCATTAGATTGTTCTGTAATTAAAAGCATAACTAGTAATATAGATAAACAAATAAATTAACTAATTTATATTTATAGGCCTGATATATATCAAGCTAGTATTTATACTAGCATTACACAAAAACAAAAATATGCATATGGTTTTGGCATGGCTAAAGACAAGCTAAAATTTGCTCTTGATAATGTATTAGTTAACTAATTTGTAGAATTAATAAAGAGATTTATTGAAAATAATACTGGTGTTAATATTAATAAGCGAATAACTATTAATATTACTAGGATTAAAAATCTAAAAAAATTGAAGCACAAAGAATATTCAAAGATTCTGAAACCTATACCAAGTGTTCAAGATTTAAATACAGGACAATTAAATAAAAAACAGAATATTAAAGAAAGTTTAAAAAAATATAATGAAGCAGGTAGAAAAAATTTTATACAAAGAACAGAAACTTGTTACTATGGCAATTATTATAGAACTGATACTATTCTATTATATCAATTTTCTAAAAACTATTTTAAATAAAATTATTGTGTAAAATCTAAAGATTTTTATAGTTCATAGTCTTTTTTTGGTTAATAAAACTAACTTGTTAAAAATTGCTATATAAATTGTATCTTACTATTATAATAATTTTTGTCATAACTAATTACATAAATCTTTTGATTTTTGATCTTGAATAGTATTTTGTAAAATAGTTCTTTACTAATACATATAATCTAAAAAAATTGATTGTGAAAAATATATATTATTTATATAGAAAAATCTAAGAGTTTTTTGGTTTTTGATAAAAATCATACAAGTTCTAGATTGCAACTATGACTTAGCATACTGAATTGTTAAAAATTCAAGTCATATAACTTAAACTTTGTTGGAATTTACTACTAAGACTTCTATTAATACTAAGGATTTGTAATTTTTTTTAGACGTTTTAACTTGCAAGATGCTAAACTACAATAGATAACTAGATATATAACATGGTTTTTCTATAATAGGTCAACATTGGTTAGCATTAAATAATATATTTTTGCTTAATTAATAGTGGCTTAGTAGTGCAGTATTTTTATTAATTTCAACTCGGAGATATAGTTAAGTATACTTATTTATACAGTAGACAAGCAAATATTACAAAGATTGTTATATATATATGCTAAGTATCTTATTTGATTTATTGAATTTTTTTTGAAAAAAGTACTTACTAATTCTTTATTTTTTTCTTTGCTTATAAATACAAATTTGACACTTTTTATTAAATTATTTTATTGCTCTACTTTAATTCTTAAATTAGAGTTTAAACCTAGTTTGGTTTTTATAAGATATATCTGATAATCTGAGTTTAATATAAAAACTAAACTATGTTTCAAACTATCTTAAATTAATGATCACTAGTAAATTCTTTATACTATATATTAATAATGCATGCTATAAATATAATCTGATCCATGGTTTAAATTTCGATTGTTACTTTTGAATATGTATCCAATTATTTTAAGCCTAAAATATATACTACTTTAAAATTGTATTCTGGATATTTTCATTATCTAATTTAGTACTCTATATGAGATACACTATATAGAGACAATATAGGTCTTTGTCTTGAAAATAACCTTATAGTATTATATACTGTAAAGTTATTTTTTAGACAAAGATCTATATTTTTCTATATTTGGATTATTTATTTGACACATCTTTTCTTTATTGTTTATTATAATATTATATAAATTGCACTATTTCCTGTCTGTAGTTTTAGAATAGTTGATTGCATTGAGTTGTGATTGTTTGGGTTGTAGATTATCCAGTTTAGTATAAATTACATGATCTGCGATATAGCAGGTTGTAATATTTAGCAAAATTCTTTTTATATATTGTTTATTTTGAAATATTGTGCAAAGTTTTGCAATATTTCATAATATTACGGAATATATTATATAATATTTTGAAAGATTTTATATTTATTATTTCATAATATTTTGTAATTGAAAATTGTAAAAGATTTCACATTAATATATAATTTTTATACAAGTTTTCAGACTACTGTATAATAACTTATATAAGATTATATTTATTTTTATTTTTATTTTTTTTTAATATTGAGGTGACCACTTAGGCCCCTGGCACTTTATTAGTTCAAATGGGTGGGCCGTCTGAAGACTGGCTT